GGTTCAGGCAATTCTCCTGCCTCAGCCTCCTGAGTAGCTGGGATTACAGGCACGTGCCACCATGCCCAGCTAATTTTTTGTAGTTTTTTAGTAGAGACAGGGTTTCACCGTGTTGACCAGGATGGTCTCGATCTCTTGACCTCGTGATCCACCCGCCTCGGCCTCCCAAAGTGCTGGGATTACAGGCGTGAGCCACCGCGCCCGGCCTTTTTGTGTTTCTTAAACAAACTATAAAGACCAACACATCGGCCAGGTGCGGTGGCTCACACCTGTAATTCCAGCACTTTGGGAGGCCAAGGCAGGTGGATCACCTGAGTTTGCGAGTTTGGGACCAGCCTGGCCAGCATGGAGAAACGCCATCTCTAATAAAAATACAAAATTAGCCAGGCGTGGTCGTGCTATGCCTGTAATCCCAGCTACTAGGGAGGCTGAAGCAGGAGAAATCGCTTGAATCCCAGAGGCAGAGGTTGTGGTGAGCTGAGATCACATCATTGCACTCCAGCCTGGGCAACAAGAGCAAGACTCCATCTCAGAAAAAGAAAGAAAAAAAGCAGGGCGCGGTGGTTTACGCCAGTAATCCCAGCAGTTTGGGAGGCCAAGGGGGTGGGTCATGAGGTCAGGAGTTCAAGACCAGCCTGGCCAACATGGTGAAACCCCGTCTCTACAAAAATACCAAATATTAGCTGGGTGTGGTGGCATGCACCTGTAATCCCAGCTACTTGGGAGGCTGAGGCAGGAGAATCACTTGAACCCAGAAGGCTGAGGTTGTGGTGAGCAGAGATCACGCCATCACACTCCAGCCTGGGCAAGGCTCTATCTCAAAAAAAAAAAAAAAAAAAAAAAAAAAACTCTGAGAGGTGACCACTGAGTGTCCTATAATTCCCAGCAAAATTTAAAGGATGGCCCAGTCTGTTTCTATTTCTTTTTGTTTCCCTATCACTATAAAAAGTAAACCTAACTGGACGCGGTGGCTCACACCTGTAATCCCAGCACTTTGGGAGGCCAAGGCGAGCAGATCACGAGGTCAGGACTTCCAGACTAGCCTCACCAACACAGTGAAACCTCGTGTCTACTAAAAATACAAAAATTAGTAGTGCATAGTGGCACTCGCCAATAATCCCAGCTACTTGGGAGGCTAAGGCAGGAGAATCACTTGACCCAGAAGTGGAAGTTGCAGTAAGCCGCAATGGCGCCATTGCACTCCAGCCTGGGCAACAGAGCGAAACTCTGTCTCAAAAAAGAAAAAAAAACTAAATATAGATAGATTAGAGGGATATAGAAAAGAGAGTTTAAGTGAAGTACGGAGGGACTTTTTTTTTTTTTGAGACAGAGTTTCGCTCCATCGCCAGGTGTCAGGCTGGAGTGCAATGGCACGATCTTGGCTCACTGCAACCTCCGCCTCCTGGGTTCGAGCAATTCTCCTGCCTCAGCCTCCTGAGTAGCTGGGACTATAGGCACGCGCCACCATGCCCAGCTAATTTTTGTATTTTTAGGAGAGACGGGGTTTTACCACGTTGGCCAGGATGGTCTCGATCTCCTGACCTTGTGATCCGCCCGCCTCGGCCTCCCAAAGTGCTGGGATTACAGGCTTGAGCCACCGCGCCCGGCCCCCTTCTTTGTTTTAATCACATTATCCCCCCGCCTTCTTCCCCATCCCCCCAGATGGAGTTTCACTCTTGTTGCTCAGGCTACAGTGCAATAGCATAATCTCGGCTCACCGCAACCTCTGCCTCCCAGGTTCAAGCACAATTCTCCTGCCTCAGCCTCCAAGTACCTGGGATTACAGGCATGCACCACTATGCCTGGCTAATTTTTTTTGTATTTTTATTAGAGATGGGTCTCTCCATGTTGGTCAGGCTGGTCTTGAACTTCTGACCTCAGGTGATCCACCTGCCTTGGCTTCCCAAAGTGGTGGGATTACAGGCATGAGCCACCATGTCCAGCCTCTGATCACACTAGTCTTAATTCAATCATTTATTCACTGGCTCTCGAACAAAAATGCCTTGATGGTAATGTCTATTACTGCTTCATCTGTTTTTTTTTTTTTTTCTTTTTTTTTTGAGACGGAGTTTCGCTCTTGTTACCCAGGCTGGAGTGCAATGGCGTGATCTCGGCTCACCGCAACCTCCGCCTCCTGGGTTCAGGCAATTCTCCTGCCTCAGCCTCCTGAGTAGCTGGGATTACAGGCACGCGCCACCATGCCCAGCTAATTTTTTGTATTTTTAGTAGAGACGGGGTTTCACCATGTTGACCAGGATGGTCTTGATCTCTTGACCTCGTGATCCACCTGCCTTGGCCTCCCAAAGTGCTGGAATTACAGGCTTGAGCCACCGCGCCCGGCCTCAATGGCTTTTTAAAGATGTTTTTGACTCATGATTCTGCCGCATACTTCCAGTGCTACATTAAAATAGAAGCATAGACAATGAGTACGATATAGTTTTGCATTGGTGTCTGTGAATTTGAAGGAGCAAACACCTCTTCAAGTTTTTATAAACTGCTTTCAAGAGGTAAAGATCTTTTGCTGGGTCCCTCGGGTAATGGGGTGCCCTCTGGGTTTGTAGTAGAGGGGTTGTACCTTGGTCACAAGGCTGCTATGTCTGCACTAGGGTCCACTTTTAGGTGGCTTGTTACAAAGGGCTTGGGTAATTGTAATTCTCATTTTATTTTATTTTTATTCCTGTATATCCTTCAAGACTTTTTTCTGTGGAGCAGATACTAGGGCAGTTTTCTGCAGTCAGGTCCATATGTAATGGCCCTTCTATCAGGATGTGAATTAGTATAGCTTTCACTGAATACCAAAGAGGATTTTCACAGATCACTGTGTGGGTTTCTATGTAGGCAGAACTGGCCATGAACTATTACCCATGGAGCTGGAACTGAGTCATTGAACTGTTTCAGGGACCACAGCAAAGACCAAGGTCTGTAGGCCTGCCCACATGGCTATAAATGGGTACCTTCCTCCAGGTCTCTGGAAAGGCAGGACCTCTCCCAGACTGTGGCTAGGAGGAGTTTGGGATGCTTACAGAGTAAGCTCAGAATTCTCATGGACCGTGTTGGGTGGGCCATTTCTTGGTTTGTAGTCAAGGCCAGGGGTCCTGTAGTTTCCCACCTGAATGAGGACCTGCCCTCTGAAAAGAACACTCCTCAATCTTGGGCTTGGACAGAGTTTCACAACTCCCTCCCTAGATCTCAAAGTTCTCTTGAAGGAACTTATTTTGGAGACAAAGTCTTGCTTCATAACCCAGGCTGGTCTTCAAATCCTGGCCTAAAGCAATTCTCTAACCTCAACGTAGTTTTCATTACAAGTATGAGCCAAAATGCCTGATTCTCTTATATAGGCATTTTTGTAAAGAATGGCTGACAATTTTTCTTGCTGTGGGGAACATAAGCAAATAAAGCACCTTTCATTTTTTTTTAATCTTTCTTATGTTACTCTTCCTAGATATTTTTACATTCCTTTTTTTTTTTTTTTTTTTTTTTAAGACAGAGTCTTACTCTTTTGCACAGGCTTGAGTGCAGAGGCACAATCTCAGCTCACTGTGACCTTCATGTCCCTGGTTCAAGTGATTCTCCTGCCTCAGCCTCCCGAGTAGCTAGGATTACAGGCACCTGCTACCACGCCTGGCTGAGTTTTGTATTTTTAGTAGAAACGAGGTTTCACCATGTTGGCCAGGCTAGTCTGAAATTCCTCACCTCAAGTGATCCAGACACTTTGGCCTTCCAAGGTGCTGGGATTACAGGTGTGAGCCATCACACCTAACCTATATTTTTACTTTCTATTTTTTATTTCAAACTTGTCTAAAATTTTAGATCTAAACATTTCAGACAATATGTTGGAATTTACATATTATGCCTGAAGTAAGTTAGATAATTGGTAGGCACACCAAGTTTACTAAAATAGTTACTTGTAAATTTAGGTTTGCTGTAAGCAAAAAGGAATTATAGGATTTTCACCCACTTTCTTTAGCATACAACTAAATGATAACAATTTATGGCAAAATATTTGTTTTATATATCAGAGGCTCTAAGTATATTTTGCAAAATAAAAGTTTTTTAAATTAGCAGTGTAAGCTATGCTTTATTTTTTTCTTTGGAGACAGTCTCACTCTATACCCAGGCTAGAGTGCGGTGGCACAATCTCGGCTCACTGCAACCTCTACCTTCCCGGTTCAAGTGATTCTCCTGCCTCAGCCTCCTGAGTAGCTGGGATTACAGGCATGCGCCAGTACACCCAGCTAATTTTGTATTTTTATAGAGACGGGTTTCTCCGTGTTGGTCAGGCTGGTCTCAAACTCCCAGCCTCAGGTGATCCACCCACCTCATTTTCCAAAAGTGCTAGGATTACAGGCGTAAGCCACCACACCCAACCTTAGAATATTTTATTTATGTACTGCATATTCTCTGAAATTTTACTGCCATACAGTGCATGCTAATGATTCAAAATACTTGCCTTGTATGAGTACACAGTTACAGTCAAATATTGTAGTCAGACAAATTCCTTTTTAATGGTACATCAATGTTGCATACCAGATTTTATGAGTAAACATGTCTCTTATTGTGCAGTTTCATATTAGTGTTTTTTAGTATAGGTTTCTTAACGTCAGCTTATTGTGTTATTTGGTTTTACATATGTATTACAATTTTATACAATTTATAATTCTGTTCATACACTTTAAGTCAATGTGATGTTTAATTAAGAGATAAGTCTGCCATATGTCTATCATGATCAGATTATATATGTATGTGTGTTTATCTATAAATATGACTTCAATATTGGTTATGGCTTATCTTGTATATATTCTTTCTTAGCTGATTTTCAGTGGTTGTTTTATCTTGTCTAAGTGAGTAGTCATGGAAATATTTTCCCTATGTTTAATGATGAATATGTATTGCCTTTGTGTGAGAGAAACACTTTTATAATTTGAAGGTAATTTTTGAAAATAATTTTTCGTAGAGACGGAATCTCCCTGTGTTGCTCAGGCTGATCTCAAATTTTTAGGCTCAAGTGGCCCTCCTTTTTTGTCCTGTTAAAAAAAATTCTGTATCAAAAAGTTTCTTTTTGTTTTAGAATAATTAGTGATTGTGGCTGACTGTGGTGGCTCACTCCTGTATTCCCAGCACTTTGGGAGACTGAGGCGTGAAGATCACCTGAGGTCAGAGGTTCGAGACCAGCCTGGTCATCATGAAACCCTGTCTCTACTAAAAATATAAAACATTAGCTGGGTGTGGTGGTGAGCACCTATATTCCCAGCTACTCGGGAGGCTAAGGCAGGAGAATCACCTGAACCCAGGTGGCGGAGGTTGCAGTGAGCCAAAATTGCACTACTGCACTCCAGCCTGGGCAATAAGAGTAAAACTCCATTTCAAAAGAAAAAGAAAAATTAATGTTTGTAAAACACATAACATAAAATTTAGCAACTTAAACCTATTTAAGTGTACTTTTCAGCCAGGCATAGTGGTGGCTCACAACTGTAATCCCAGAATTTTGGGAGGCCAAGAAAGGAGGATCACTTGAGCCCAAAAATTTGAGACCAGCCAGGACAACACAGGCAGATTCCCTTTCTACAAAATGATTTTAAAAATTGCTGGACGGGCACAGTGGATCACGCCTGTAATCCTAGCACTTTGGGAGGCCAAGACAGTCAGATAACCTGAGGTTGGGAGTTCAAGACCAGCCTGAGAAATAGGGAGAAACCTTGTCTCTACTAAAAATACAAAATTAGCTGGGTGTGGTGGCACATGCCTGTAATCCCAGCTACTCAGGAGGCTGAGGCAGGAGTATTGCCTGAACCTGGGAGGCAGAGGTTGTGATGAGCCAAGATCGCACCATTGCACTCCAGTCTGGGCAACAAGAGCAAAACTGTTTCAAAAAAAAAAAAAAAAAAAAAAGTTGCCAGGCATAGTGGTGTGCACCTGTGGCTTTAGCTACTTGGGAAGTTGAGAGAAGAGAATTACTTGAACCTGGAAGTTTTGAGGCTTAAGTGTGAATAATTGTGCCACAACACTCCAGCTTGGGTGACAGTGAGAGTCAAAAAAAAGTTTTGCAGGCTGGACCATGGTGGCTCACACCTGTAATCCCAGCAATTTGGGAGGTCGAGGTAGGCAGATAAACTGAGGTCAGGAGTTAGAGACCAGCCTGACCAACATGGTGAAACCCTCGCTCTACTAAAAATATAAAAATCAGCCAGGTGTGGTGGCAGGTGCCTGTAATCCCAGCTACTCAGTAGACTGAAGCAGGAGAATTGCTTTAACCCAGGAGCCAGAGGTTGCAGTGACCTGAGATAACCCCTTTGCACTCCAGCCTGGGCAAGAAGAGTGAAACAGTTTTAAAAAAAAAAATTTTTTTTTTTTTTTTTGCATTTTCAGCATGTTACATATATTCACGTTGTTATGCAAAAGACTTTTAGAAATTTTACATCTTGTGAAACTAAACGTAAATACCCATTAAGTAACAACCCATTTTGGCCGGGCACGGTGGCTTATGCCTGTAATTGTAGCACTTTGGGAGGCTGAGGCGGGCAGATCACAAGGTCAGGAGCTCAAGACCAACCTGGCCAACATAGTGAAACCCTGTCTCTACTAAAAATAAAAAATTACCTGGGCATGGTGGCATGTACCTGTAATCCCAGCTACTTGGGAGGCTGAGGCAGGAGAATTTCTTGCACTGGGATCCAGGAAATGGAGTTTGCAGTGAACCAAGATCATGCCACTGCGCTCCAGCCTGGGCTACAGAGCATGACTCCATCTCAAAAAAAAAAAAAAAAAAATTTTTTCCTCTCTCCAGCCCTTGACAAATACCCTTCTACTTTCTGGTTTTCTTTTTCTGTCACCCAGGCTGGAGTACAGTGGCACTATCTTGGCTCACTTCAGCCTCCACCTCCCAGGCTCAAGCGATTCTCCTGCCTCAGTCTCCTGAGTAGCTGGGATTACAGGCATGTACCACCATGTCTGGCTTATTTTTACATTTTTGTTAGAGATGGGGTTTCACCATGTTGGTCAGGCTGGTCTCAAACTCTTGATCTCATGATCCATCCACCTCAGCCTCCCAAAGTGCTGGGATTACAGGCGTGAGCCACCGTGCCCAGCTGCACTTTATGTTTTTATGAGTGTGACTATTTAAGATCTCTCATATAATTGGAATCATGTAGTGTCCATCATTTTGTTTCTGGCTTATTTCAGGTGACATATTCTCAAAGTTTATCTTAAAATATAGCCAGGCACAGTGACTTATGCCTGTAATCCCAGCACTTTGGGAGGCTGAATTGGGTGGATTATGAGGTCAGGAGTTCGACACCAACCTGGCCAATATGGTGAAACAGGTCTCTACTAAAAATACAAAAATTAGCCAGGCGTGGTGCCTCACACTTGTAGTCCCAGCTACTCGGAGGCTGAGGCAGTAGAATTGCTTGAACCTGGGAGCTGGAGGTTGCAGTGAGCCGAGATCAAGCCACTGCATTTCAGCCTGGGCGACAGAGTGAGACTCTGTCTCAAAAAAATATATATGTATATATGACTAGATTTTCTTCTTTAAGACTGAATAATATTCCATTGTATGTATATGTTACATTTTTGATATGTTCATAAGTGAAGAGACATCTGGGTACTTCAGCCTTTTGGCTTTTGTGAATAGAGGTACAATAATCATAGATGTTCAAATATGTGTTCTAGGTCTTTTGTTGCAGTTTGACTGCAGATTCAAAATGGAATTCCTGTATTTGATACGAATTTCATTTTAAATTATATGAGAAACATTTATAACATTTTAAAATAATGACAATCTTTGTTTTCTACTAACAATCAACAGAGGTTTCATTTTCATTTCATCATCAACAGATTCCGCCTTTTTGTTTTTATTTTTGTTTTGAGACATAGTTTTGCTTTTGTCACCCAAGCTGGAGTGCAATGGCACAATCTTGGCTCACTGCAACCTCTACCTCCCAGATTCAAGCGATTCTCTTGCCTCAGACTCCCAAGAAGCTGAGATTGCAGGCTTGTGCCACCACACCCGGGTAATTTTTACATTTTT